GCGTTCTGCCTTCCTCTGCAGGGGAGAACAGGTCTCTACCCAACTCCGTGTGACATTCCCTCACATACCTGTATGTCACCAACAGATCCCCTCTGAGTCTCCTCTTCTCCAGGCTGAAGAGACCCAGTTCCCTCAGTCTTGCCTCATACCCCATCCCCTGCAAATTGGTCACTTACCTTGTGGTCCTACGCTGCACTGACTCTAACCTGGCTATATCCTTTCTGTAATGAGGGGCCCAAAACTGAACACAATACTCCAGTTGCGGGCATGCCAGAGTTGTACAGAGTGGTAGTAATACCTCTCTCGATCTAGAAGCCACACTTCTGGCTATGCAACCAAGGGTGGGATTCGCCCTCTTGACCACCGCATCACACTGCTGACTCATGTTTAGCCTGCAGTCAACCAGTACCCCGAGGTCCCTTTCACAAGTGCTGCTCTCCAGCCACTTGTCGCCTAACCTGTACTTATGACACCTATTCCTATGCCCCAAGTGCAAGTCCTTGCACTTATCCACATTGAATGCCATTCTGTTGTCTCCTGCCCACTTCCATAGTCTGTTCAGATCTTTTTGGATCTGGAGTACCTGCTCCTTAGTTGTGGCCACTACCCCCGTTTTAATAATGTCTGGGAATTTGATTTCACCCCTTCTTCCATGTCACTGATGAAAAGATTAAACAGGATCAGCCCCAGGACAGAGCCCTGGGGGACCCTGCTTGTCACTGGCCACTATCTCGATGATTCTCCACTAATAGTTACCTTTCAGTCAGTCAACCATGCCCTAAGCCATCAAACAGTGCTTTGGTCTATCCCAAAACTCCTCGGTTTCTCAACCAGGATATCATGGGGCACTTTGTCAAAAGCCTTGCTGAAATCCAGGTAAACCACATCCACTGCATCCCCTCCATCTAGCCGGCTCGAAACCTTGTTGTAGAATTCCACAAGGTTTGTCTGGCAGGACCTGTTATTGCAGAAACCGTGTTGTGTGGCCGCCAGCCTCCCTTCCCTATCTAGCATCACTAGATCTCTCGCTATTATGAGGCTTTCCATTGTTTTTCCTACAATGGACGTAAGGCTAACTGGTCTGTAATTCCCCATGTCCCTTCTACTACAGCAGGCATGAGAGAACCCCTGCCAACTCTCAAAGTACTCTTGGGTGTAGCCCATCAGAGCCTGGCGCCTTTGTAATGTCCAATGCCCTGAGGAGCCCCTCAACTTCTTGGGGAATGACTCTAATCTGTGCCCCTAAGTCTCCGGCCTCATCTAATCTCCTATGCGAATCTTCCCCATCCTGCTTTGGGGAGAACACAGAGGCAAAATAGTCATTTAGCATCTGTGCCTGTTCCCTCATCCTGTTCCACTGGATCTTCTTCCTCCTTATTTAGCAGTCCTACTACTTGTCTTCCCTTCCTCTTGCTATATACATGCTGATAGAAGCCCTTTTAGTTGCTCTTGATATTCTTTGAAAGTCTCAGCTTGTAATCAGCCTTAGCCTCGTGAAAAATTATTCTGCAATGGGCCTCCTCTTCCCAGTATACCCTTTTGTTTATTTGCCCCAGTACCCAGTTCCTATGGAGGTACCTCTTGCATCTAATCTCTCTAACCACTTCCTTTCACATCCATGGCGGTGCTCTGCTTCACCTCCTCACCTTACTAACTAGAGGGTATTGTCAAGGCTTGCGCCTCCAAAACCTCCCTTTTGAGTGCCATCCATCCCTCCTCAACTTGCTTACCTTCCAGTAACCTATCCCAGGAGACTTTCCCCAGTCTGGCCTTCAGTTGGCCAAAGTTGGCTCTCTTGAAGTCCCAGCTTCTAATGCTCGACCTGCCGCACGTCCCCATTCCCCTGACCTCAAAGCAAAGGATAGAGTGATCACTAGCATCCAGAGCTCCCCTAATCTGCACTTCATCTATCAGCTCCTTGCTATTGGTCAAGACCAAGTCAAAGATGGTCTCCCCCCGCCCCGTCGCCTCTCGGACCCTCTGTGTGAAAAACCCTCCCTCTGTAGCTTCTAGGAAGCGACGTGACCTGACTGTCACCGCTGAGTGAGTCTCCCAACTAATATCCGGGAGGTTGAAATCTCCCATAATTACTGTGTCTCTCCCCCTTGATATCCTTGGAATCTGATCTGTCAGGACATCATCCAGGGTCTCAAGTTGACCTGGAGGGCGATAACATACCCCCACTGTCAGGTTCCTTTCCCTGTCAAAACCCCTAAAATATAAATATATTAAATTAAAAATATAATACATTAAATAAAACAATTTAAACTAAAATTGACTAAAACTAACATCGGGTCAATTGTAAAAGCAGAGTTCCATTAAAATCCATTGTTAAAAACAACTGGAGAAAAGGTAAGTCTTTTCCTGGTGCCAGAATGCTAACCATGTCAGTGCCAGGCACACCTCTCTCAGTCTACTCTAAAAGTTGGGCGCAAGTCCCAAGAAAGCCCAAGAAAGCCCTTCTTTTAGGCAGCCTCTCCTTCGCATTCCTAGGGGATAGCTCCCTAAGAAAGACCTGCTGGCTTGATCCTTTAGGTACCCAGACTTAAAGGCTATTTGATTATGGTAAAAATCTGAGTGTTGCCCACAATTTCAAGTTCATTTTACTACAGTACTTTACAGGATAAGAAAGCAAGCTTGAAGTTTGTAACAGTGTCTGATCAACAGTGTCATGACCCTCCCCACAAAAAGCCCCCCTACTTCTTTGTATGACAACTAGTTATCTTTACATGATATGTTTAGTGTCTTGTACTAGCAAGTTTACACTAGTTTGCACTAAATTTTTGTAGTTTCTGCACAAGCTTTTATTTTGCATATGATTTGGTCTGGCTTTCTTTAATACTGTTCCCACAGGCACCACAGCAGTCACAGGGATTTCCCATGATACTTACAAAGGTCTGTCATTTATGAAGGAGTGGGAAGGCACTGTGGCTTGTTAAACCTATGGGGGAAAGAAAGCAGGGCACTACAGGGAACATTAGTGGAGTAGGGAGTCAAATGGAGCAGTCTTGGTAGTGGTAGAGGTTGAAACAAAGACAGAGATATCAGGCAGAGATAAGAGAAGAAAGCAGTTAGAGTAGGTGGGAAGAGAAAGGGGAGATCAGAAAGTGGTCAGTCTCACAGAGGGTGTTCGCATTCTGGATCCAGACCATAATTCCTTTCACAACAAACTCCTGCCTCATCAATGAGGCAGGGGTGGTCTTCCAGGGTCAGCTCACCCAGGATAACTGGTCCAAGGTAGAATCTCAGTGATTCATCTGGCCCTCTGCCATTTGTCTCACCTGGAGAGGACTGGGACTTCGAAACAGGCACCACTGTTGCCAAGGCATATGCTCAGTGAAACATATGCTCTCCCTTGCAGGTGCCATGAGGCTGTTCTTCCAGCCCTGGAAGCTTTTATGGCCCAGCAGATCTGGCTCCTCCATGGAACCCTATGCATTCAAACTTCCCTGGCTCAGCAGGACATCCCAAGTCCTGGGGGAGTGGTTCCTACATCCAGAGGCCTCATGGTGCCAAGCTGTCCACTGGGCTTCCTTTGCCTCAACCTCTTCACCTCCCCTCAGAAAATGAAACTCCCCAGATTGATAGTGCTACCAAATGAGAACCAAATTCTCCAATGCCTTGACCAGCAGGTGGCTCCAGAGCTTCCCTTAATATCTTTCTACCCTATCCCTCATCCTGTGGGTGCTCCAAAATTGTAAGACCAATGTGCTCAAGTGACAGACGTGCCAAATGATCCTTGCTTGCTAGGAATCATTATTGGTGAGACTACTGGTATGGAAGGCAGGAACCAATATGCTTGTTTCATTGAGCCTCTCATAACACAGTATTTCACAGATTCCTCAGAGGTGTTAGGAAGGCCATCCTTGGGAGTGTTTCTTCAACTTCAAGAGAGGTCACTGAGGCTGTTGCTTTTTGAACAGTCTTTGGAGCCTCCTATGGTATCCAATATAGAATCCCCACAAAAATCGCCATTATGGATATGGCTGCATTCTAGACAAGAAGCAGTCTTCCTAGCTCTCTGGCTTTCCAGTGAGGTAGGAAACGTCTACCTCTCCAGCTGAGCATGTCCTCCATTCATTGGATGCTAGATGTACTCTAGTATCTTCTCTAGAAAGCAAGGATTGATCCTTTCCATAAATTGCCTTATCTCCTTGTGTGAATAGAAGTGAGAGGAGTTGCACATCTGCTTGCAGCACGCAGAGACAAAGAGGTGCATCCACAAGCTGTGGAATCTAGAGTGTTATTCAGAAGGGCCTAACATTTGTCCTTTACCTGCTGTGCTGAGAGTTTGGGTGCAGGGTGCATCTGCATTTACCTGCCAGCTTGTTTTCCAGCTGTGGCACAAAGATACATGGGTAAATAAATATTTACATGTGCACACAGAAAGAGGCTAGGTGGTGTGTGTCACTCACAAGCTGCCTATCTCCAACTTAAACCATTATAGCAGAACAGTTAGGAACACCAGTAGTGTAGGAGGTTTGCATGACCATTCATGTATTAATATTCAGACTAATAATTTTGAGTGGTTTGAGGCATGAAATTTCCATTTCTGCCTTTTTTGTGACCGAGGGCCATCATAAAGTGTTTTATGTCAAATCCCCCTTTGTGATCATACTGACAAATCTCAAAGAGGGGAGCCTAGTCATTGTGGTGTGATACAGGATAGGCCAACTTCGAGGTGCAGAGGACTATTCAGGTTGCTGTGGCAGTTCTTCATTGAATAAAGAACCAGGGATCAAGTTTCATCACCCCTTCTGGATACATTTCTGTTAAATGGTTGAAATTTCAGTGTTTCAATTGACAGGACAAAGTGAAGTTCAAGATAGTTATGTAAACACAATGTATTGCATTTCATTTGTTTGTAAAATAGATTTACAAGAAGTTTCTAAATATTAGTTTGTAACTTATCTATAAATATAAAGTATTTTCCTTCAGTGCAGTTCTGTAATTGTTCATAAATATTTTAGATTTATTTTTCCTTTGTTTATCTTTACCAGGAAGTTAAGAGAGAAACAGAATCTAAAGAGGATGGCTTGCCAATCAAGAGGGAAAGGCACGGAAATGTAGCTAACCTTGTACAGAGAATGAGCACTTACGGGCTTCCAGCAGGAGTGTTTCAGCCTCATTCCCAGAGTAAAGTCTTCAGGAAAAGTATATAGCATTTAAGGCATATATTTTTTCAAAAATCTGCAAGTGGAGGGAGAATTGGAAAAGGACACAACATTAGATAAATTGGTCAAGCTACATTGGCGTTTGGACCAAATGGTTCAGGTGTAATGGTTGTATAATGTAAAATCTTTTTTTAGGAATGGTTTATCTTACTACTGATGACACTTTTTTTGTTAACACGTCCATATTGAAAACAACCATTTCAAAGTTTCTTAAAGAAGGAAAGGTTGTAGAATAATTACCTCAACTGTAGAACCAAATTTTCTAGTTCAGGTGCAATGAGAAATGCTTGTTAATAATAACTAGGAAGCAGATGTTTCCAGTCTCTTTGCACCTATGCCCAAAACAGATAAGGGTGGATGGGGGAGTAGAAACCCAAGGACTGGTGCTGCTGTATGGAGAAACTGTAGACTACAAAGCTTACGTCACAATATATCTGCTAGGTTTTAAGCATTTGTTAGTTTTTTGAGGTGCACATTAGCTTGAGGTAACATGTTTCTTACTTTCAACAGGATCAAAAAAACGCCAGTGTAAAGTTTTGTTTGAGTATATTCCTCAGAATGAAGATGAGTTACAGCTGAAACAAGGGGATATTATAGACATTAATGAAGAGGTAAGCCATTTTACAGGCTTTAGGTGGATAAAATGAAAGTTTCTAATGACAATAATAGCTAAAGAATTGTATAGCACTAAAAATGAGAAAGTTAGGGTCTTTCTAATCATTACATTTTGTTTATATTACATTTTAATAATTTTAGCATTCACTAGAAAAAGCAGTTTAAAATACTGCTCATTTGTGATGTGCGCTTCACAGCTTTGGAAGAATTAAAGTGGCAGTGTTAAGAATCCTGGTTATTCCTGATTTTTCTTTTTTTTCCACTTGATCTTTCTGCCAAGATACCTTAGTACAACTCCTGTTTTTAAATGTCTTGAGGTAAATGCTTAAATAACCTTGGAAAACTCAGTGGGACTGTAAATTGGTTTGGCTTTGTTCATTGCTCTGAATCAAGCACTGATTGGGTCTTTTGCTGAGATTCTCACAAACTGATTCTGGTCAGAGAATAACACTGCAATCTGTTTCTCTGTGTTTCATTATCGGACTGTAAAGGTTTATAGCTAATTACTAGAATTACTGCAATAAAAGGTTTACTGAGAGTTCAACCATGGCTTTGGGAAGTCAGGTTCTTTTTTTGTGGTCTCTCAGTATCACACACTGAGCTCTATACCTGCGAGAAGCCTGCTGTTGAGAAGATTATGTAGCTGAGAGCATTTTGGTGGAAACCTCTCCCCCCCCCCCCCGCTGGTGTTCCATATATATGGGAGGGGTTCCAGCCTGTTCCCTCAGTTCACCTGTACCTCCCTTGTGGCCTTGGGACAGAGGGAGGATCATTTTGGCTAACTTGACCTTAGTCAAACCTGATCTTGGCATAGAAAGGACAGTTTAGAATATGACAGTGAGGAGGGGTTGATGGGTAGGTTGTGTTGATATACAGATGACCACTAGAAGGGCAGCAGTTATGGGTAAACAACCTGCCTTTCTGACCCACAAGGTGAAAAATGAAATGACTTCATATTTCTGCAAGGGTGAAAAAATGATAAATGTATGCAGATCTCCATAAGGTGAGGAAAAAGTTCTTGCTGACATTTCAAGAAGCAATAGAGAGGTGATATTGTTAGTGAGATTGAAAGGAACAAATGAGTTTTTCATCACTCAGTAGCCCTTTCCAACAGCCATTGTGTTAGGTTCTCATGTCACAACAAGCCACTCTGAAAACAGGCTACCCTGAACAGGCCAACAACATGCCATAGAATCTCAGAGTGACTTAGAAACTCACATTGGAAAAACAGCACTGGATTCAAATGTAATGATAAGCTACTCTGAACAAATAAGGCTCACAATTTTCTGTAGGTTGTCATGTCATGAACATTAGGTCAGTGCCATGGTGGCTTACTTTTCTTCCCCACCTTGTGCTGGTTGCAAGGCATTTTAGTAGCATAATTACCCTCACTGAGCATCGCTTGTTGTTATGTTTGAGGTTGGTGGCTGGGGTAGTTTACCAACCACTGTGAACTCTATGGCTTGTCTAGGGTTTCAGGGTAATTTGTAAACTACCCAGTTATCCACCCTCACCAGGATTGGATGCCATGTCAACCTGTTCCTGTTTGATGTTTGTGACCAGCACATTTGGGACTGAAAATAAGCCACGGTATCTTATTTTCCCTCCATGTTCATGTGAACCCATTCTGTATTTGGGTTCTGTGAACCCCTTCCAGTATTTAATACTGATGTTGTACCCATCTGTTTCCTTAAGATGTGGTTGTCCTGTTTGCCTGATGCAAATTATGAAGTGGCATTGTTGGAATTCTGTAGTGAACATAATGATAGTGGATGCACAGATAAATGATCAGGCAGCTGTCAAGCTTGATCATTGTTGTCCTGTGTAACACTTTCATAGAATCATAGCATTGAAAATTACTTCAAACATGATCTCGTCCAGAGGTGTGGAACATTTTTAACCTGTGGAGAAGCATTTAGGGAAATGCAAAGTAGATGCATCTCTTGAGCTGGCAACTTCATTCGGAGTTGTTTTTGTGCTGTACCTTCTCTGAAGGGTCAGGTTTTCAGGGAGTGGTGGTGTCTCATTAGAGACATTTGCAGGTTAGATGGGGGTATTGAAGACAAAATTTGGTCCACCAGCTAGAGCTTTCCCACCTGTGATCTAGTCCAGCCCTGCAGTGGTCTGCTCAAGCATCTATATTAGGTAGTTTTCCACTCTCTATTTGAAAAACACTATTGATGGAAAATCTATCACATGCTGTAGCAATTCATTCCACTGAAGGCATAATCATACTGTTAGAAAGTTCTTCCTAATATATGGTGTGATGTGATTTTTGTAATTTGAAGACACTAGTTTAGACCTTATCCTCTGGACCAACAGAAAATAAATCTACTTTATTATCAAAGTGACAGCTCTCGAGATATTTGAAGAAGGCTAGGTCAAGTGAGGTATCCTCCATCCTCTATTGGTGTGTCTTATTTTTTAAACTAAGTGTACAATTTACATTTAACTTTGCTAAAATTAATTTTGACACAGTTTTCTAACTTATCAATACAATATTGAATCCTAATTCAGTCTTCTGAATTAGCTACCCATCTAAGTTTAATATCATCTGCAAATCTGATTAAATCTCCTATGCTTCTTCATCCAAACAATTTATAAAGACATTAAGCAATACTGGGCCTAGGGCAGAACCTTGTGGCATTCCACTTGTCATTTTTCTCTAGGTTGATGGGGAGGTATGGATGAGCACTCTTCGGGTACAAACTTGCATTCAACTTTTAATTTACCAGGATGTAGCATTTTCTAACCCAGGTTTAGACAAAAATAGAATAGGAGATCTTGTTGAAAACATGATGAAATTGAGATATACTATATTCACAGCATCCCTAGTGGCTCTAGTCAAATTAGTAACTCTACTAAAAAGGAAAATTTGGTTACTCCTTCATGACTCTTTCTTGAGAAACCTGTAAGAACTTGGTGAACACAAATTTGTTTGGGCACATACTACTTAATGATTGCTCTAGAAGGCTTCCTGGTATCAATGTTAAGTTAACAGAGTGATAGTTACCTAGATACCACCACATTGCCCTTGAAGGTAGGTTGACATTGTTCCCCTCCAGTCTTGGGGGAGTTCACCCACTCTCTAATATCCCACCTTTATTGCCTGGGATTCTGCAGTTCCATCTGCAAGTTCCTTTAGTATTCTTAGGTTCAGTTTATCTGGCCCTGAAATTCACTATGAGTGGCCAGGTGTTCCTGTGCCACCAGTTTAGCTAGCTTGGGTTAAATTCCTTCAAGCAATTCTTGTGGGCCAAATAAAGGTGGAGAAGTTCCATCCTTTCTGTGCCACCCAACAACATTTATTCATTTTTTCCATATGATTGACCAATCATTTTGTTGTTCCTTCTTTTTTGCCTTCCAAAATGGATGGTGGTGTTATTTATTTTTAACATCGCTAGCAAGCTAGATCTCCTGGGTTTTAGCCTCCTGACATTTATTGAGTTGTCTTGGCTACTGATTTCTACTCCTCTTCAGTGGTTTGCCCTTATGTCCTTTTCTTATTACGTGACACCTTATAGACTAACAAAAGATTTCTATGCTATTAGCAAAAACTGATTTGTGAATTATCAGTTAAATAATATGATTGTCACTATGAATACTTTCTGCATTTAATTTCTTTTTGACCTCACTATTTATAGTTCTCTCCCCTTCCCTACAAGTGTACTGTACATATACCCTGAAATTCTTGACAAATACTTTATGCATCCACAAAATTTAAAGCTATGATATATATTTATTTTTAAGGTGCCACAAGACTCTTTGCTGTTTTTACTACAGTTGACTATCACAAATACCTCTCTGAAAATAGTCCAAACTCTATAGAGGGCTTCTTCTGTGGCCACTCTGGTTTCTTTATATGCTTTCCATTTCGATGTCACCTTGGAGACTGCAAAAAGTGGTTTTTTAAAAATTGTAAAAGAGGAAAATGCTGCAGTGTAAAAGGGCTTGTCTCAGTGCATGGAGAAGACAAAGCAGCTTTAGCTGCTATGTCCCCTGAGATAGCAGGAGGACCAAGGGAGGAGGAGTGGTGGGACAACCCACAGTGAGTCAAACATCTGTAGGATGCACTGAATGGTGTTCAACAAACAACTCACAGCTTGTTCACAGGGTGAGTTCCTGTGTTGTGAGAACTTAACCATAACATTGCTTCTCCCTACTTCCTGTTTTGTTGGTTCTTTTTGAATAAGTTATACCCTTCGTTTCCTACATGCTGGTCATGAGACTCAACCTCACCAAGTTTTAGTAGTGCCTTGTAACGTTTATCAACCTGTATTAAGATTTCAAGTTCATGCTGTTTACTTTCCATACCCTTTGTGTTAGTGCGGAGACTCTGGAAACTGTGATTGCCTTTGTGACTGTTACCTTTCTGGTTTTTCTTGTGTATTAGTGGGTATCAATCCTGCCATTCTTGTTTCACTTCTAAGATGTCTTCTCCCAGCCTCACAGGATCAGATCTGCAAAACTCTTGCCAAACATGTTTTTTCTAGTTCAGATATGTACTTCTCAGTCTCGTTTTCCACCAGAGCTCCTTTATTGTAGAAACATAAACTGTGATCCAAGGACTCAGACTTTGCCAGTGAAACCATCTGCATAGCCAGTTAGTCACTTCCAGTCTTCTTCTCTCTTCCTCAGCTATGATCTTCAACAAGAATGTGTGAGAGGAACACCACCTGTTTCTCAAGGTCCTTCGCTTTCCCATCTAAAGCTCTCAAAGGGCATGCAAATGCCCTTTTTTCAACACCAGGTGTTGTGGTAGAGGTGCCCTGTAAGCAAGGTTCTTTCTTCTTAGGGTTTGTTTCTTTCTATTTGTGAGGCATACGTTGCCTTGATGAGGATACAAGTCTCTTACATTTACAATTAAGCCTATTAGAGCATCCTCATTTGTAATTCCATCCTGTGTAATATATTATGTTGGCTCTAGAAAACATGTTGCTGCAAGTTCACTCTGCCTATATGTCTTCACAGCATTACACAAATCACTAAGCAGTCTCTGTCCAAAGTGGGTAAGCTAGGGTCCTGCACAGTCTTTTCCATCGTCGGTGCTCTTTGTTGCTAATCAATAATGAGTACTTTATCAATCCACAATACTAATATTGTACAATATAGGCTTTGCCTTTTGAATTCCTGTACGTTGCTAATCTTGTGCTTTCCAGCTATTTTGGACCACCTCCCCATCAGTCCCACCTGGTTCTGATAATGATAAGGAATCCTGGGAGTAGTAGTCCTAAAAATTTGGAGAGAACCAGATTGAGGACTATTTGGATGTGTGTTCCTTGGACTACCAGGTTGTGATGTCCATAGACTGCATATTGTAAAAGCAGTGTGTTCCTTTTCATGTCATCGGTAATGTAAGATATCCTCTCCACAGGTGGAAGAAGGCTGGTGGAACGGAACACTAAATGGCAAATCAGGCCTATTTCCTTCTAACTTTGTAAAAGAGCTAGAGGGAATAGATGAAGGAGAAACCCAAGAAGGCCTGGATGATGCAGGTAGTTTTTGTTGTGTTTACAAGCAATCAGATCATTGGTGGAATATTGTATGGAGCATTACTAATATTAGCTATCAAACCAGCAGTAAAGCAGTGCTTAACTTTAAGCATAGGTATAGCCCCATTCAGTTAGCTTGCTAAGAGTCAAGCATATATGTAAATATTTGAGGGATTAAGAACAAGTTTGATTCCTTGATGCTTGGAGGCAGCTTGCTGTATCTTACTCATTAGATCATGTGCCTGATATTTCTGGCATGTCTTTACTTTATATTAATGAACAACCCTAAAGGTGATAGTAAGAACCTTTGAGCATTACTAGAGTTTGAATGTTTAATACAGGTATAGAGAACCTCCAGACCATGGACCAAATGGTATGTCTAGACCTTCCACTTGTGACCATCAGACTCTCCCTAGGCTACACCACTTACCAATTCCTCTTCTGCAGGTTGTTGATCTTATTTGCTCTGCCTCCAAGCTACAAAGCTTTTGGAGGGAATGCTGCACAAGTTGGAGGAGGAGAATGCTCGGGTATGCGCCTGTGTGTGTTTTGTTCAGAAGGCAGTGGAAAACCATGAGATCAATACTGTAACTCCACCCACATTTGGCTCTGACAGCTGTGTCCCTGATAGGTTTCAATTCATGTACAGTCAATCTTGACAGGAAAAGATGCCCCAGCCCTGATAAAAGGAAGAGCACACTATTATGTTATCATGATGTACATTAAGTATATATTACCATAATTGGCATACATGTAGTTTTGAATTCTTGAATTTTGAATGTTGAGAATGTATACAAAGCTTGTACAAAAGATTTTTGGGTTGCAGTGTATTTAAACTTTTGGTATTTGAATTGTAACCATTTATAGATGTGTAGCAAAGGATGCTAAGAGCAAACTATAATACTTAGTTTAAAAATGTCAAGCTTAACCAGAGAAATGCAAATCATTATGCTAAGCAGAGTGTTTGTGTGTTTGGATGGAGGGAAGGCTTATGTGTTGTGGGGATCCTTGTGGGTGTGCTGTTTGGATCCATACACTCTGCAGAGAGACATGTTGTGTCTCCTGTGGGATCTTTCTCAGGGATGCTGTCCAAAAGAACAGAGTTATACTTTATTCCAAAGTAGTGTAAGACACTCGTTCATGGAAAACAGGATGGGGAATTCTCAGTCTTTGGATCTGACCTACCCCCTCTTCTCCTTGCACTTACTGCCACAGAATTAACTTTTGTGTAGGCATACATCTGGAATAGAGCCAACATTTCTATGGTTTTACTTGTCATTCTAACCTTTGTAATCCAGGGGGTCAGAAAGAAATCCTCTTTTCCTTTTTAGTTACTACTTTTGCAGAAAAATACTCCACCCATCATTCTTCCGTTTCTGTCCAACACTTCAGTAAAATAACAGAAGGAAGAATTCTGTAATTATCATCTATTTTTATGACATGTATAGAATGTCAGTCAAGATGTGCTGCTCTCCTAGGCCTAAGCTCCTAAACTCTGACAGTTATAAGTGTGTGGACGGAGACACTTGCAAGTGCTCAACTTGGCAGGCTTAAGACAGGGCCTTGAGGTTGAAGGCATTCTTGTGGGAGAAAACTTTAAAACCTCAGAACAGATGGCATCTGATTCTCATGCCAGCTTATCCTGTCCAGGAAGCCACATGTGTGATTTTGATACAGTGGTCTTATTTAGTTTCAGCACTGCAGGTTTTGATATGGATTCTAGCCACAGTTCCGGAGTCTCTATCCTCTATATCAATGTTCTTCAGAGGCTTGTGGACTCCAAGGATTCTGCATATTCTCCAAGGAATCTACCAGATGTTAGTCTGAGGATGAACCAAGCAAGAAAAGATGGGGGATGGATGGGCTTGCTGATTTGACTGACCCAGACATCTTTTCCTGTGGTGCCTGTTCATGTTGCTCAGATCTGCTCAGCACCAGCTACAGTGAGCACATTTTAATAACACCAGTCAACTTAGTGTCAAATCACTTATGTGTGGCTTTGGAAATACCTCAAACCCCTTTCTTTAGGTGTCAGATGTCCATCTCTTCCGTTCTTCCTTCTAGGGTGGGATTCTGGACATTTCTGGTCTGGCAACCTACTCAGTTGTCTTACTGACACTTTCATTTACAACAGAATTCAAGGACCTTATCACAGAATGATACTGCTTCTTGCCTCTTAAACTTACTTCCAAGAAAGGCCTCACAAATGAAGTTTTCAGATTCCTTCTTGAAGCTTACCGTTTGCTGAAAATTGAGACTTTCAACAGAACAACAAATATTCATACTTCTGGCACAACTCCCATGCTGCATGTTTCCACTATTTCTAGTTTGGTAGCAGACCCAAGAAGGCTCACGTTTTCAGGGCCAGATGAAGGTGCTAAAGGAGGTACTGAAGGAGCTTGTGCATCTTTTTTCAGAGCCCATGTCTGTAATCTTCAAGAATTCCTGGAGGATAAGGCATTGGAAGACAGATGGGCAAATGCCCCCTCTTCGAAGAGGGAAAGAGTGGAACCAAAGAACTACAGACAAATCAGCTTGATGTCAATTCTGGGGAGTGGTGGGGGGATCTAGAACAGATTATTAAGTGGTCAGTCTGTGAGCAACTAAAAAATAATGCATAGAATGGTAGGAGCCACCATGCATTTGACAGGAGTAAGTCATGCCGAATGAACCTTGTATCTGTCATTTCGTAGCAACTTGTCTTCTGAATGGGTTTTAATGGCATGTCTTAATGTCATCTAAAAGAAACAGTTGTAAGTTCCCTATTGAATAGTAGCTTCATAAAGGAAGAGTAGATTAAGTAGATATTGTTTCTGACCTTATATTGTTTACCTATTCAGTAAACACACTTACTGAATAATTGGTCTCTTGCTGTGTATGTGTGTGCAGTGGGGCAACCTACAGTGGAAGCTGATTGGCTTAGCATGCGGAGAGTTCCAGTAGTTTCTTTGGAACGGATAATTTAGAAGCTCTTCTTTGGGAGAAATATTGTTTGGTTTCAGTTGGAGTTTTACTAGCCATTATTAGAATGGCCTGAAATAAATAATCTGGCTCTCAGAAAATTCTGTGCAGCACAGAGGAAAGTCTCAATTCCTCTTTTCCCTTACTATGCAAGAAGTGGAAGACCCATAGTATTTGCTAGCTGATCACCAGTAGGTATTGTAGGCTGCACTCTGTAATAGATTTGTAAATAGTGATACAACTTTATCTTTGAAAATCTGTTGAGGCCATGCTAATGGAGAATCTCTGTCATTTTTTTGTGGAAATGTGAATGATCTGTTATATATGGAATCATTTTGTGGGGTATCAAGCCGTTTCCATACGTTACTCTTATATTGGATATCTTATATCAGAGTATTCTGTGAAATATGTAGCGTATTTAAAGGGTAAAATAAAAAAGTAAAAGAATGTAGGAACTTTACTAGAAAATATTGATGACAACATATTGTTTCTCTCTATCTCTTTTTTTAAATGGGAGACCCAAACCTGTCATCTGAAAATCCCTTGAAGAACTACTATGATTACAAGGGTAGAAATAGTGCACTCAAAGCTCAAACACCTCTTGTAGCTTGTTGCACTTTAACACAGTATTAATACATATTTCCTTTTGGCATTGTATGTTAATAGCACTTTCTCATAATTTTCCAGAGCCTGTTTTCACAGGCTCATTCTCACCCGTGACTTCACCAGGGAATGGTAATGAACTGATAGCACAGCCAAAGAAAATCCGAGGAGTTGGGTTTGGAGATATTTTTAAAGAAGGCTCAGTGAAGCTTAAGACGAGATTGCACAGCAGCGACTCAGAAGAGAAGAAGCAAGATAAGGTAACATATTTGTCAGTTCTGAAGGTTATCATTCCCCCCACCCCCATATATTTGGAGAGAGAGAGTGTGTGCAAAGCTAATCTAAAAGATTTTGAAAACTCAGTATCTTGTTTTTATAAGCAGTGTATCTTACTATTGGAAGAGCATTGGAAATCATCCATGGAGAAGCACTCTAGAATGGCCCCTCAGAAGGGACTACATAATGCTTCCATTTCCCCCTCCATAACTGATATTATGCAGTGATAGGCTGAGGAGAAAGGCTGAGAAGCACAGAAGTGTTCCAAATGGAAGATGACATAATCTAGACTAGCCATACAATTACCTGGTTGAGATGACTGCACAATAAAAGCCTTGTCTAGGAGCATCCAGCTTCTAACTCTTCTGGATGCTTTGTATATCCCATTGTTCTGTAGTAGCAGTTGCAATTCAACTGTTTGCTGATGCATTATATAGAGGAGTTTAACATGTCATTCAAGAACTAAAATGTGGATTTGAGAAATCTTAAATGTGGTAATTTTATTTATGGTTATTAAAAATAAGTCAACTCCATAAACTAGAAATTCTAGTACCTCATTATTAAGGAACGTCTGTGCTACATAGAGGAAGAATCTTCAGTTTATAGCTTTTGATCATTACAAGCAGGTATGTGACAATAAAAGGTAGGATTAAGGGTCTAATCAACTGTTCATGGCAAGATAGTGTCAGATATTCCAGGGAATGAAGTATGCTCTTTTGAGACTGGCAGACCACTGTTTCAATTGTATTATTATGTCAATGGATTGCAAAGAAAAATGAGGGTTCCTTGCATTCACTGCCTGGTAAAGAGCTGCTTATATGAATTTTAAATTGCTTTGTTCAAAGCCCATTTGGGTAGGTCCTACGAGTACATTACTTTTCCTTATTTTTTAAGGCAGCTTTGGATGAGCACTGGACATAGTAGGAGCAGTGGTGTCTCATGCTAGATGACATATATTTATGCACAGCCTGGTCCAGTTTGAATGACTTTCAGTTAGTACAACTTGGGGATGTTGACAAAATGCTTGGACAAGTCAGTACAACCATCTTTGTTCTGGATCCTTGTGTCTCCTGGCTTATAAAAGCCAGCAAGGAAGGAACAACCACCTGGACAAAGGAAGTGCTTAATGCTTCCTTGCAAAAGGTAGTGGTCCCATGCCTCCTGAAAGAGGCAGTGGTGAGACCACTCCTGAAGGATTTCCTTCTTTGAGCTGGAACCATAACTTTAGGGTTTAATAACTTTAGAGTGCTAGCAAGTGTTACTTTCCTTGAGTGGGTGGTTGCCAGCCAGCTCCAGGCACTCTTGGATGAGACCTTTACTGTTCAATCCCACGGATTCTCCAGCGTGGAATTCCTCAGCAGTCTGTTCTGTCCCTCATGCTGTTTAGTCCACTGGATTAGGGCATGGTTGACTGACTGAAAGCAGAGGGTAACCATTAGTGGGGAATCATCGGGATGGCAGCCAGTGACAAGCGGGGTCCCCCAGGGCTCTGTCCTGGGGCTGATCCTGTTTAATCTGTTCATCAATGACATGGAAGAAGGGGTGAACAGTCTGCCGATCAAATTCGCAGACGATACTAAAACGGGGGCAGTGGCCACAACTGAGGAGCAGGTACTCCAGATCCAAAAGGATCTGGACAGACCATGGAAGTGGCAGGAGACAACAGGATGGAGTTCAATGTGGATAAGTGCAAGGTCTTGCACTTGGGGCATAGGAATAGGTGTCATAAGTACAGGTTAGGGGACAAGTGGCTGGAGAGCAGCACTTGTGAAAGGGACCTCGGGGTACTGGTTGACTGCAGGCTAAACATGAGTCAGCAGTGTGATGCAGTGGTTTAGAGGGCGAACGCCACCCTTGTTTGCACAGTCAGAAGTGTGGCTTCTAGATTGAGAGAGGTATTACTACCACTCTATGACTCTGGTGTGCCCGCAACTGGAGTATTGTGCTCAGTTTTGGGCCCCTCATTACAGGAAGGATATAGCCAGGTTAGTCAGTGCAGCGTAGGGCCACAAGGTTGCTGGCCAGTTTGCAGGGGATGGGGTATGAGGCAAGACTGAGGGAACTGGGTCTCTTCACCCTGGAGAAGAGGAGACTCAGAGGGGATCTGTTGGTGACATACAGGTATATGAGGGAATGTCACATGGAGGTGGGTAGAGAGCTGTTCTCTTCTGCAGAGGAAGGCAAGATGTGATCCAACAGAGCAAAGCTCAGGGAACCAAGGTTCCATTTAGATGCCAGGAAGCACTTCCTGACGGTTAGGACCCCGAGGGTATGGAATGGGCTTCCACGGGAGGTGGTTGAGGCCCCATCTGTGAGGGTGTTCAAAGATAGGCTGGACATGCACATGGTGGGCATGTCGTGAGTGGAGCTGGCTGGAGCCGGAAGGTCAGACTAGATGGTCCAGGAGGCCCCTTCTGACTCGTTCTGTTTCTGTGTTTCTATGTTTAACATCTACATGAAAGGTCTGCATGGAGTCATCCATTGTCTTTAGTATGCTGATGACATGCAGCTCTCTTTCTTCTCTTCATCCTCATCAGATGAGGCTGTGGGTGTGTTAAACTGGTCCCTGCCTGCAGTAATGGACTGGATGAGTGCTAATAAACAATCCCAATCCAGACAAGATTGAGATGCTGTTCTGGGTGGCTCCTTTGACTGGATGGAGGGTGCTCACCCTGTTTTAAATGGGGTTGCATTCCCCCTGAAACAGCAGGTTTGAAGCTTGGGGATTCTTCTTGATTCCTCTTCGTTTCATGAAGTTCAGGTTACCTCAATGGCACAGAGTGCCTTCTACAGCTTTGGCTATTGGCCCAGCTTTGACCCTATCTGATTGCAGACAGCCTGGCTTCAGTAATTTATGCTCTGGTAATCTCTGCCATTAGATTACTGTAATTCACTCTATGTATGGCTGCCCTTGAAGACTGTTCAGATGCTGTAGTGCATACAGTATGTGACAGCCAAATTAGTAACTGGAACCTGTACATCTACACCTTTAGGACCAGTTCTTGCTCAGCTTGCATTGGCTGCTTGTATTCTTCCAAGCCCAGTTCATGTGCTGGTTTTACTCTACTTACACAGCTTAAGACCATAATACTTAATGGAGTACCCCTGCCCCCAACCACAGTCTACCCAGACACTATGCTCAATATCCAAGGGATTTATTTAAGTGCCAGATCTGATGGAAGCCTTTGATAGGATTTAATGGTATTTTATTGTATTGCTTTTACAAATTATTGTAAACCAACTCCAGATGTTGGGCAGTATAGAAGTAAAATAATATTATATTGGATCAGCAGTCCTATATTAACTTCTACATTTCTGAGTGTCTGTGGGTTTTATAAATTTAACCATTTAAAGTGCCTTATATCTAATATATCTAACTTTTCAGAGACATACAAAAGCAATTGAAGCTCTCTATTTTGAAAACCATGTCAGTGGTATACCAAAGTGGTACCATGAGATCCCTTGCAATCAGTTTGTAGATCCCCAGAAATTGAAGGTCTGATACACTATCTATGAGCATCTCTTTTATATACATCATTGCACTCAAAATTCTTTGGCAATAGTATATTCGGGTTGCAGCTGAATATGTCTTAAGTAATACACGGTATCTGCTGTCTGACTAAGATAGTCATGTGATCAGGCAGGTTGCACTTTTTGCCTGACTGGCTGAAACCCTAACTGCTGTCAAAGCTTACTGCAAACATGGTATCATGTGCTTTGATTCAAATACAAAAGTAGCATTTAGGTAAAATGCTAGGTATATTTTAGTTCAGATTCATTCTGCTCTTTTTGTTTAATTACTTCAGTGTTTGATTCTGTCATAGAGTTTGTAATTTTGTACAGGTTTCATTAATGGACTTCGACTTGCAAATAAATGACAGACAACTAAGTATATTCAATTATTACATTTCTGTACCAACCAATAGCTGAAGGTCTCTGTATTTTAAAAACATAAAATACAACATGATAAAACTCAGTGTAAGAATTTAAAACTGCAGTATGAAATTTCCCCCCTTCAATTTATATCCTGCCTTTTTCCTACAAAGGGCTCAAGGCAGCTTACATTATTCTCCTCCTCCATCTTATCACCGCAACAACAACCCTTTGAGGTAGGGTGGGCTGAGAGTCTGTGACTGGCCCAAAGTCACCCAGTTGGCTCCATGGACGAGCGGGGACTAGAACCCAGATCGCCTGAGTCCCAGTCCCAGCTCTTAACCACTACACCACACTGGCTTAAAAGTGGCAGCGCTGAAAAGATTTAAAATACAGTATCAGATTTAAAGCAACATTTAGATTGAATAGGTTCTTTTACTAGCAGCCACAGGAATTTGAATATAGACCCAGAACCTATTACAGAAAGCAACTGCAGTGTTTTGATCTTTGTAATATTTGCATTTCAATGTCGGTGTCTATTGCCAACTCAGTGAGCTTTCATTGTACTTAAGTATTAATTGCAGAAGCAAAAAAAGTATTTCATTTACCATTCTTGCTGTACAAGTTTCATTCACTTGTTTGTTTTGTAAGCCATACATCATATCATTTAGTTGGTTATCAGATAAGCATTTGCTCCAATCACAATATACTTTACTCTTGCCTCATCCTTGTTTTTATCTTGATATCTACTGTACAGCTATTAGCTACTCAACCATCTGGATTAAAAGTAACCCAGTTGCCGGGCATAACAAAATTGGAAATGGCAACAGAGGTAGCAAAAGGAGAAACTGAGAGCAAACAGAAAGGTATTAGTATTTTATATATGCCTTTATTTTATTTGTGATCTCCAACATAAAATAATGCAAACAGAAATGGGATTTTCTGGATTTAATTTTTAAGGCCACATAAAAATGGATACCAGGGGCAAAGGTAATATGATAATGATAGTAGCATTGTGCTTTTTAAAAATGATACTACAAATTCTAATAGAGTGGATTGGCTTATTCCTGATTGATGAATAAGAAATAAGCTTCTTGTCCTTATGTTCTCTTCCTCACGCTAACAGTGTTACCGAGCTTCTCCAGCCCTGGGGTGCACACTTTTACCAGTTTGACTTGCACCCATCCTTGGATGCTGCTCTTTCAACTTTTAGTTTCCTTTCCTTCTCTTTTCCCTAACACTGTGCCTCTTCCATCTTTCCTTTCCTCAGGACTGTATTCTTAAGTCTAGTACCATGTTACTCCCCCATCTTTTAACAACCCATCTGTATGGCTTCCATTCTCATAGTTTTCCTATCTTTCACTTGCTTATATATGTATTCACTTATTTAGAGTGGCTTACAACAATCAAAATGCTACAGTCCATAATGAAACAATAATATGAAACTCAATACAACTTCTATGCAAGGCATTCTGACTTCTGAATTGCCTCCTCCAAGCAGCACACATGTTCTTATCATGTGCAGGCTCTCCTGGTGCACACTCTCCTCCTGTCTGAGATAGGAGAGTATTTTTCTCACACTGCATTCCCCTGACCCCCTTATACCCACAATGCCATACCCTGTACACACATTCCATGGCTGCTGTGTTGCTTGACACTACTGGCACTGCGGTTTGTTCTGAGGATCCTCTCTGTGAGCCAAGAATGGCCAGATTTCCTGAAGAGCCACCTTTACTAGAGAAAATAGCCAGTGTGGTTCTTCAGGTTGACATGCCTGGTTCTGAGGAGCTAATTCCTCAGACCCAACTTTGTGGGAAGGGAGAGATCTGCTGGCCAGTTCCCCCAGCCAATGCAGCTCTGCAGGGAGCCCACCTCCAGGCTTGCCAATTCTTAGTACAAGCCTGAAGGAAAGGTGGCAGAGAACAGATGACCATCCTCTGATTTGCTCTGAGGGTGGCTGCTGTGCCAGCTGTTTCCGCACACCAGCATTTGCTTCAGTGGGACTGGTAGGACTCTTGGGAGAAATCAGTGGTGTCATTGACTGGGTGGCTGCTTCAGAGCATCCCGCTGCCTCATACTCCCACTGAGACAAATGCAAGAGCAGGGTAGTGGCCAGTAAGATTCACCCTGCTAGAGGCAGTTGTGGTGCCCTGTTCTTCCCTGCAGTGAAGGGCAGGATATGGTCCAATGAGGCAATGCTGAAGGAACCAGGCTTCAGGTTGAATGTCAGGAAATACTGCCTGACCGTAAGGACCCCTACGATGTGGAACGGGCTTCCAAGGGAGGTGGTTGGGGCCCCATCAGTGAGAGTGTTCAAGCAAAGATTACATGAGCGGAGCCGTCTGGAACTGGACATCAGACTAAATAGCCTGGGAGGCCCCTTCTGCATCATTTTGTTTCTATGTTTCTAAAGTTGTCCAGGGCTTATTACATTCTGGCCCCAGAGTCATCTTGGTAGCAGGCCCACTACAATTTACTCACGGGGCACTTTCATGCTTGGCCAGGTTTTTGCAACCACTTCTGTACTGGTTCCTTGCCCTTCCTGGCTTATAAAAGCCAGTAAGGAAGAAATAAGGAGCTGGGCCGGAGAGGTGATTACTCCCTCCTTGTGAGAGGGAGTGCTCCCATGCTTCTGAAAGAGATGGTAGTGAGACCACCTCTGAAAAAGTCCTTCCTTGACCAGAAGACTGAAATATCTTTAGATCAGTAGCAAACATCTCTTTCCTGGGCAAGAGAGTGCTTGTCACTCAATTCCAGACACTCTTGAATGAGACTGATTATCTGGATTCATTTTACCTGGGGTTCAGGCCTGGTTTTGGCATGGAAGCAGCCATGGTTGCCTTGTATGATTATGATGACCTATGCTGGGACAGAGACAGGGAGTGCGACCTGCTCCTGGACCTCTTAGTGGCTTTTGATACCATTAACCTATTCAACATTTACATGAAACTGCTGAATGGGGTCATCTGGAGCTTTGGAGTGCATTGCCATCAGTATGCTGATGACACACAGCTCTATCTCTCCTTTTCACCTTTAGCAGCTAAGACTTTGGATGTGCTAAACTGGTATCTGGCTGCGACAGTGGATTGAATGAGGGCCAGCAAACTGAAGCTCAGTCCAGAAAAGACTGTGATGCTCTTGTGGGTAGTTCCCATTACTGTATGGGGAATGTTTAACTGTGCTAGATGGGGTTGCACTCCTCTTGAAGGAACAGGTTTGTAACTTGGAGGTGCTCCTTGATCCATCTTTGTCACTTTAGGCTCAGGTGGCTTGGAGTACCTTCTACCAGCTTCAGCTGGTGTCCCAAATGTTTCCCTATCTGGACAGGGATAGCCTGGCTTCAGTGATGCTCTGATAGTCTTTAAGTTAGATTACTACAGCGGACTTCATGTGAGGCTTCCCTTGAATATGGTTCGGAAGCAGGAACTGATGCAGATGCAGCAGCCAGAATAATAATTGAGACCCATAGGTCTGAACATATGAGACCAGTTCTTGCCTGTCTGTACTGGCTGCCTGTATGCTTCTGGGCCCAATTCCAGGTACTGGGTTTAACCTATAAAGCCCTATGCAGCTTAGGACTGTAATATCTGTTGGAGTGTCTTTCCCAGCCATGATCTACCTGGATGCAATGCTCGACCTCTGGAGGCTTCCTCCAAGTGCCAACCACATAGGAGGCCTGGAGGGTGGAAAAAGGGTCTTTTTTGTGGTTCTCCCCCCCCCCCCACAGTCTTTGGAACAACCTCCCTCCTGCAACCTACTTGCCACCACATTTGCCATCTTTTCAGTGCCAGGTCAAGACAGCCCTTCAAGTGGAGGCCTTTAATAATATCCTTGGTTATCCAAAGCCCTGAGGGGATTGTCTATGTGATTTGCTTTCTTTTCTGGGTCTTTTTCTGTATTTTCTTTTAAACTGTATTTTATTGTATACTTTAAGCTATTTTAAATTAATTTTAAATTCATGTTAACATTTTATGTTATTTCTTTTTTTTAATCAAGTTTTATTTTCTCTATAAATCCAAAACTAAAAACAACAATCATTCAGGACATCGGACATAATGGGTCGACATCTCACTCTTTTTTTTACATTCAACAACCATATTCAGTTCTACACATAGTCCCGTTCTCAAGTATTTAACCTTTTTAACAATTTGAAGGTCTACTTGCTGCGTCAAAGTTGTTTTTTGTTCCAACATAAGATTTTTTACTAACAGTTTATTCTTTTCTCTATTTTCATCCCAGTAACTTCACCATAATCTTCTATCTTTTTTTAAAATTTTAGATGTCGTTACCAACGGATCTTCTAAAATAAACACTAAGTCATCTGCAAATGCTTGAAGTCCATAGCTTTCATCTCTAATTCTAGCATCTTTAATATCCATATCTTCTCTAACATTTCTATTTAGGACTTCTAGAACCAATATGAATAACAGTGGTGATAAAGGACATCCTTGTCTTGTGCCCTTTTGAATGTCTATGATGTTTGTAAATTCTCCATTGGCTATTATCCTAGCAGTCTGTTTTTGATAAATGCTTGATATTGCATTGATAAATTTTCCACCAAATTCCATTTGCACTAGTTGTTGTTTCATGAATTGCCAATTCACATTATCAAAAGCCTTTTGTGCATCTAGAAACAGTAATGCCAATGATTTTTCAGAGTGAGTTTCATAATATTCTAGGATATCCAAAATAATTCTCACATTGTTCCTAATTTGTCTCTTAGGTAGAAAACCATTTTGATCTGTATGTATAAAGTCTATTAAGTATTTCTTCAATCTTTCTGCCATTAACAGAGGCAAAAATTTTGTAGTCCACGTTAAAGAGTGATACAGGTCTGTAATTTTTAATCTGTGTTAAGTCTGTGTCTTCTTTCGGAATTAAAGTAATATTTGCCTCAGTCCAAGTATCTGGTGTTTTAGCATCCAACAGTACAGCATTACATATATCCTTTAAAGGTGCAGATAAAATTCCTTCAAAGGATTTATAAAGTTCCACTGGTAAGCCATCCGGACCAGGAATTTTATCATTCCTTTGTCTCTTAATCACCTCAATTACTTCTGTCATTGTTATTTATTTATTTAGGCGACTTCTATACCGCACCATTTGCCGAAGCCTTGGGGCGGCTCACAAACCATAAATAAATAAAATTCAATAAAACAATATAAATTAACAATATAAATTGTCACCCTGGCCAAAGAATAAAATGAATAATATTAACAATTAAAATAACATTTGAATAAAAAGTTCTTCGCCTGGCACCGAAAAACAAATAACGACGGTGCCAGGCGGACCTCTCTGGGGAACGCATTCCATAGATTGGGTGCCACCGCAGAGAAAGCCTTCCTCTCAGTACTTACCTTCCTAATTTCCTTCATGGAGGGTTCCCGGAGAAGGGCCTCTCCCGCTGATCTCAAGGGGCGGGTGGGCATATATGGACGTAAGCGCTCCTTCAGGTAACCAGGACCCAAGCTGTTAAGGGCTTTATAGGTCAGCACCAACACCTTGAATTGGGCCCGGACTTCAGTGGGAAGCCAGTGAAGCTGACGGAGGACTGGAGTCATGTTAACATAACGCCCAGTTCCCGTCAGCAGCCTGGCAGCTCTATTTTGAACCAATTGAAGTATCCGGACCGTCTTCAAGGGCAGCCCCACGTAGAGCGCATTTTTTATTTATTTATTTATTTATTAAAACATTTCTATGCCGCCCCTTGCCAAGGCCTCGGGGCGGCTTACAACATCGAATACAAAATACATTAAAACAATGACAATTAAAATATATACAGTAAAATAAAATAAAGTCAAGTTACAGAAGTCAAGTTGGGAAGTCACCAATGCGTGTGTCACTGTCACCAGGCAGTCGTTCTCCAGGTAGGGGCGCTGCTGATGGATCAGCCGAAGCTGAAAGAAAGTGCTCCTCGCCACCGCTGTCGCCTGAGCTTCCAGTGAAAGCTCTGGGTTGAGGAGCACTCCCAAGCTGCGGACCTTGTTCCTAAGAGGGAGTGCAACCCCATTCAGGACTAGGTTCAATTCACCCTCCCCGAAGCCCGATCCACCAACCAACAGGACCTCCATCTTGTCTGGATTGAGCTTCAGTTTATTGGCCCTCATCCAGCCCGTTACCTCGGCCAGGCACCGGTTCAGCACAGCCACTGCCTCACCTGGATTGGTGAAGAACGAGAGGTAGAGCTGGGTATCATCAGCGTACTGATGATTCCACAGCCCACACCTCCTGATGACCTCTCCCAGCAGTTTCATGCAGACGTTAAACAGCAAAGGGGACAAAATGGATCCCTGCAGTACTCCATGACATAGCTGCCATAGTGCAGAGCCATAGTCCCCCAGCACCACCTTCTGGAATCGGCCATCCAGATAGGAGTGGAACCACTGCAAAGCAGTGCCTCTGACCCCCTATCCCGCTAGCCAATCCAGAAGGATACCATGGTCAATGGTATCGAAAGCCGCTGATAGGTCCAGAAGAACCAACAGGGATGCACTCCCCCTGTCCTTCTCCCTGCACAGGTCATTGTACAGGACGACCAAGGCAGATTCAGTACCATACCCGGGTCTGAAGCCAGACTGAAATGGGTCCAGATAATCAGTTTCATCCAAGAGTGCTTGGAGTTGTCCCGCCACCACCCGCTCCAACACCTTGCCCAGAAACGGGATGTTGGCCACTGGTCTATAATTAGTGGCCATCTCTGGATCCAGTGACGCTTTCTTCAGGACCGGTTGGACTACTGCCTCCTTTAAAGGGGCAGGTACCCGACCCTCCCTCAGAGAAGCGTTAACCACTTCCAAGATCCAGATTCCAATCCCGTGCTTGGTGTTGTTTATTAACCAAGATGGGCAAGGGTCCAATATTTTTATTTATTTTATTTATTATTTATTAAAACATTTCTATGCTGCCCCTTGCCGAAGCCTCGGGGCGGCTCACAACATTGAATAAAATACACAATCAATTAAAACAATAACAATTAAAATATATACAGTAGAATAAAATAAGCCGCTCTGGCCAAATAAAATTCGATAATATTAACATTTAAAATGCTGCTTAAATAAAAAGGTCTTTGCCTGGCGCTGAAAAACAAATAACGACGGCACCAGGCGGACCTCTCTGGGGAGCGCATTCCATAACTTAGGCGCCACCGCTGAGAAAGCCCTCTTCCGAGTAACCACCCTCCTAATTTCCTTCACTGAGGGCTCCCGGAGGAGGGCCTCTCCCGCTGATCTCAGGGGGCGCTGGGCATATATGGACAAGTGGTGGGACATACTCGTCCAAGCACCTTGTCCATATCATCAGGCTGCAATAACTGAAATTCATCCATTAATTTTGGACCAGATGGCGACATTGGTATCTCCCCAGAAGCCTCTGAATCACTAGTAGAGTCTAGCTCGTGACGAATCTGAGCGATTTTCTCCCTGAAATGCTTGGCAAAGTCGTCACAGCCGGCCTTCTAGGGTGGAACCAGATCCTTCTTAGGGCCAGGACGGACCAGCCCTTGTGCCACCCGAAAAAGCTCAGCCAGACGGCATTTTGAGGAGGCAATGGAAACGGAGAAAAATTTCTTCTTCGCCACCCTCACCGCCACAGCATAGGCCCGATAATGGGCTCTTAAGTGTGTTCGGTCAGATTCATCCTGTGATCTCCTCCACCTATGCTCTAGCCGTCTCCCGGCCTGCTTCATCACCCGCAATGCAGATGTATACCAAGGGGAAGAGTGGGCTCTGCCTGGCAGGAGAGGACACTTAGGAGCGATTGTGTCAACAGCCCTAGTCATTTCCCCATTCCATAGTTCGACCATAGCCTCGACAGGAGCACCAGTCTTGTCAGCCGGCGTGGCGGCGGCGGTGGTGGCGGCGCGGCAGGTGTTCCAGGGAGGGAGGGGGAGGGAGCTCCGATATTTCCTCATTTAATACTTCCTCATTTAATACTTATTTCCTCATTTAATACTTTCTGGTATTTCTCTGACAGTTTTGGTATATTTTCCTTTTGAATATACTCATAAACCTTCTCAACTGATATTTCTTTAGCTTGGTATGGCTTTGTAAAAAAATCTTCCACTATTTTCTTAATTGAGATGTTTTGCATCTGTAGTTGTCCTTCTCTGTCATACAGCTTAGATATTAATCTCTTTTCTCTTTCCTTCTTTAATTTATAGGCCAGCCATCTCCCTGGTTTGTTAGCATTTTCAAAGAAGTTCTGTTTAGTCAGTTTCATTTGTTTAACTAGTTTGTCTCTAAAAGATTCAGTTTATGTTTTAAAGTATTCATCTGAATCTTGAGGTCCTCTTTTGATGGATCTTCCTATAACTTTTGTTCTAGCATCAATAGCTCATCTGTTAATCTATGTCGTTCTTGTTTTCTCTTTTTATTTATTTTTGCTGAGTAGGTTATAATCAAACCTCTGAGAGATGCTTTAGCTGTATCCCAAACATTTTGTAAAGTAGTTTCTTCAGCTTTATTTTCTTGGAAGAAAAAATTCCTTTCTTGTTTATTTGAAGTTTTTATCTTTTAATTAAGATATACTGAATGCCCATTCAGGTGTTTTTATTGTTCCTTTCAGGGTCATGGTTATAGGATTGTGATCGGCCCAGACATTTGTGTCTATTTCAGCTTCTGACAGATCTGGAATTAGGTCTAGGGTTATCCAAATCATACCAATTCTTGACCATGACCTATGTCTGTTTGAGTAAAAAGTATACTTAGCAGATGTTGTGTTTGTGTCTCCAAACTTGTATTAGTTTAAGTTCTTCTAATATATTGAAGGATTTTGGAAGTATTCTCCTTCTTTTCTTTCCATTGGTGTCATTCTTGTAGTCTATTTTTTAAAATCAACGATTGCATTAAAGTATCCCATTAAGGACAAAGTTTGATATTCAGTTTGTAGGAGTAAAGTATGTAATTTTTGATAGAAAGTTTCTTGATGGTCATTTGGAGCATAGATCGCCACTAGGAGCACCTTTTTATTTTTTGTTGTGACTTCAACCAATAGAATTCTACCATCTTCATCTGCCAAAATATGCTTAGGATCCAATTTTTCTTTAATATATAAAGCCAAACCTCTTTTCTTTTGATGAGTGGAAGATATAAATAACTTGCCAAGTTTTGGATTGTATGATATTTCTATTGTATTTTATGTGCTTTATACATTATTTTAAACTGCCCAGAGAGCTTTGGATATGGGTAGAAAAGAAATGAAATAAAACAGCAATAACTATTATTAGGTCCAAAGCAGGGATCTTTTTCCCTCACGGACAAAATAACTTTTTATTTATCATTAGACTTTACATTGTATTGCTGGCACCTTTGCCCCAGCATTAAGAATGTTTGTGAATATGCCATGGCATCCTAGCAACTCCACCAATTTAGCAGTAGTGCATGGAAGAATTTTTTACTGAGCTTAGAAAATATGTGGCTATAAATGCCCATGGTACTGTTTGTATGCCTGGTGTACCTCTTATTTTTTCTCCTTATCCAGTCACCTCCATAAATGCTTATCTGTCTTCAGAACTGGGATTTCACCAAAGCCTCTGACTTGATCTTACTTGCTGTCCCTCCTCTGCTGCCATCTGACTCCCTGGTCTTATCTCAGCTCTTCCAAAAACCTTGGCGGGGTTCTGTTATAGTTTTCACACAAATGCTGTCTCAGCTATTTGGGCAAAGTGTCCTTTATATTTCATATTGCCCCCAACTCCCTTTTGCTAACAAAATGTTCATAGTAGCATATCAAATACTGTGCAACTACATATAATGTGCTTTACGTTAAAGCAATGTAAATGAAGTGTATTTTAGTAGATGCATTGTATACTTGCCTATCTTTTGTACAGCCAGTTGAGCTTTAAACATTTGTATTCCTGCAACTGTTAGGAATGTACTGTATATGCATAATGCTCATATTGCTTCCTTTCAGCTAAGGATTATTGCAAGACCTTGTATGTTTATGAAGGTACCAATAATGATGAACTTAGCTTTAAAGAAGGTGATATTATTCAAATACTCAGCAAGGTAAGAGTTTGTCCATATCTAAATTAGAATGCCTCTTTCTGTTCCTTCTTGGCATACCATAATGAAATGATAATTAAAATGTTTTGCATGGTGTCCAATAAAGCTAAATTTAGCATAGATAATTAATAGTAAATAAGCATTTCCTGTGTCCTTAATCAACTGGTACTCTGAGACTTTTCAATATGTATGTATGGGTGTTTTCCTATATTTAACCTTTAGAATATGTTCTGAATAGCTCAGACATAAAAAAATAGTTTTATAAAGGTGAAAGTCTGTGGCCTTCCAACATTTTCTGAGGGATCATGGGCTTAATCAGTGTTTCAACTCTGACATTCTGTGATCTTGAAGCTGGGATTCCAAAGGCAGAGTCCTCACCCAAGCCATCTTGTAGCTGGTGCAGAAGGAACTGCACTAGCTGCCTACCACACCACCACCTAAAGTCACAGCTTTGGAGAAGGCAAGGAGGGGTGTACCTGGGGGTGGGAAGAACAGGAGGCTGTTCCCACACTGGCACCCCAGCTTTCTTCTCTCCCTGTGCCTGGTGATTTATCTAGATATCTGAAAGTAGCCAGCTAGATAAAATATGTGGCAATTGGTGGTGTAGTGATTGAGACTGCCACAGCAGTAGCTTGTTCCATGCATAGGATACATGCAAGCAAGAGGCAGGCATGGGGCATTGGATTGTACCCTTCGACTGTCTCCCTGTCCTGTCTTGCAAGCATATGCACACACAGTTGTACAGGGGAGAAAACTCTAGCATAACCTGTACAGAAATAGCAGTGCTTATCAGTTAATCACACCAGTATTTGGGAAAGAAATTGCCAAGTATTATGAATGATAGGTAACACTGTGTTGCTTTAGCATGAAATTAAGATGGTAACCAACCCAAATGGCTTCAATACCCATAAAAAGCCTGTGATATTCAAAGAGTGTTATTGCTGTTTTGCTGACCGGCATGCTAGTACAAATGTTTTGGCTTAGGATACCATCTAAAACTAGGCTTGCACTGTTTTTTTCTTAAATAGATTGAGGAGTTAGATATACTTAGCTTGTACTGGATTTGTACAAGTATTCATAATTAACATTTCTAAAACTACTACATTTTTCTGCTAACTTTCTCTGTATGCTAGGGTTTTTTTTTTTGTTTGTTTTTTGGGAGATGGCGCTGGCATTATACTTGTTTTCTGAAAAATATTTGGTAACTTACAAAATACTGTTTATCCTAGGACACTGGAGAGGAAGGCTGGTGGAAGGGTGAACTTAATGGTAAAGAAGGAGTTTTTCCAGAAAACTTTGCAGTTCAGATTCTTGAATCTGATAAAGATTTTCCTGTGAGTCCATGCTTTAAACCCACATATAACAACGTGTATTGTCTAACCTTCTGAAGATGCAGTGATAGCTCTAGTTTCTCTGTTCTTAAGTTTGTGCTTTGAGGGACTCAGTATTTTAGCAGTATTAAGCCTGTGCCATCTGGCAGGGCTTAACAACTACATTAATTCACTGGGAGGTTTGGAGCCCATTGTCATCATTTCGCTGTTGAGGCAATATAGGCCTCTATCTCATGTCATGGCATGGAGGTCTTGAAATCAATGGTGGACTGCACATGGGCTGAAACTTGGGCTGAAATCCAGTCAAGGCAGAAATTATTTTGGTCTGGGCGATTTGGTCTGTTTTGGATGAGACTGAAGCCCATTTAAGCAACTATACCATTAGTATTGCTCTTGAATTTTCAGGAGGGTGCTGTGGACAGGAGCATCTTAGACTAGTGTACCCAACTCTGCTTGTTTCTTAAGAAGTAGAACTTGGCCACATTCATCCATGGCTTACTGCATTTAGATTGGACTATTGTCAAACATTCCACATAGTTCTGCCTTCAGAAACGACCTAGAAACTTTAAGCTAGTACAAAATACAGTTGTGAAAGCGCCTGCTGTTACTTTTTAAAACACTTTAAAACCCTTAGCACCAGGATCTCGCAATGCAGGCGTGAGGAATGTGTGGTCTGCTAGATGTTGTTGGACTGCAACTTCCATCATCACTCACTATTGGCTATCCTGGAAGACACTAATGAGAATTGCAGTGCAATGACATCTGAAGTGCCACATTCTCCTCCCCCCTAATCTAACAGACTACCATCTTCCACATGCATCTGCATGTCAGTCAGGAGATTATGCTGTAGCTCCCAGGATGTGAAATTCCTTGTCCTGGGAGATTTGTTTTAGATCCACTACTCAGTGTTTTTGTTTATTCATTTTTAATCTTCGGTTCTCTATGTTTTATCATTGTTTATTGTTTGATATTGTTGTTGTTATTATTGATAAAACCTTGAGCATTACATTTCAGTCAGAAAGGTGGGATATACTTTTCTTGGTTATATGAATCTGAATATGATGCCACCTGAGGGGATATCTCTTGCAGTTTCTACTGCCTCTATTAGGTGAGATTTGTAGAACAGGAAAGTATTATGAATTACATTGATTTTGCCTCTGATGATGTTGCATACAGATGGCAGCCTTCCAAAGAGTCTTTTGGCTTCTAAGGGCTTGTGATAGTTGACTCTGCCTCTAGTTTTCTTCCAATTAAGATTGGTGATAATATATCCCAGATGGAGATGACTGCCTTTCTGCTGTTCCTCAGTGAAAATGGGGGTTTTATACTTACCATAAATTCCTGTTCTTGAGGAAGGCTGGAAGACAGCACTTGTATTTTTAGATGGTAGGTATATGTGAGTAGATAGGTAGGAATCCTTGAATTCAATTCCTTCCTTCTCCTCCTCTAGAGCCGTTGTATTTTCTGTACTGCTGCACAACCCAGTTGATAGTTGCTGGTTTGTTTTTTTCTAGAGTGCTGTTTCATCATTCATACTGTATAGGGTACTTAAAGCTTTTCCAGTCCATTCTGGGGAATGTGGGTCCCTGCCAGGAAGGGGTGAAGGTGACACCCATCATAAGTTGCTCAAGTCAGGCAAGGAATGAATTTCCAGGTTTTTTGCCTTAGTTCTGGCCTCTTTGGTTCCTCTCAGCCAATTTGTTCCTTGCCCTCCCTTGGGGCAAAATTTATTTCTCTCTCTTTTTCACAACTTTGTTGAGCCCTTCATTTAATTTTTCTTTTTTTTTCTTTCCTGTCTTACCTCCCTCTAGATTTCCTGAGTTTTCTTTGAACAGTCTTTTCCTTTCTTCTTTATTTTCCTCTTTGAAAGAAGGGAAGGAAAGCTTTCCTTTTCTTTTCTCTTCCTTTTCCTTATTTTGCCTCAAGATGGCACCAGTGAACAAGAAGAGCTGCAGACCTGGAATGGAGGAAGATAGTTTTGTTATGCTTCAGAGTTGGGAGAATTTAGTTTCTGCTCAAAAGGGTTAAAGCAGATCATAGACTCATAGAATAGTAGAATTGGAAGAAGCCATGAAGGCCATCAGGTCCAATGCCCTGCTGTTGCAGGATACCAATTTATAGCATCCCACTCAGATGACTGTCCAGTTTTGCCTTCAATGTCTCTAGTGTGGGAGAGCCCATCACCTCTCCAGGCACTGACTCTGGATCAGTCAGTATGTATGCTAGAACTTCAGTCCATTTCAGGTCAATCTCTTTGTCTACCCATTCTACCACTAGCTGTCATGCATCTTCTCCATACACCTAGCCTTGCCAGCAGAAGCCATGGATGTATTCTTCTCATCCAGCTGCACTAAGGAAGAGGGCCTCACACAGCACCCTTGCCAGCTGGCTCAGGACAGGCCTCTTTACATTCTGTGTTGTAAAGAAACTTCTCATGCCTATACTCGTAACAGCATGTTCACCCAGGGCTGCAGTTGTTGCAGTGGCTTGCTCCACTAATACCTTTGTCAGCTGAAATTTGCAGGGCAGCACCTTGGTCTTTGTATCAGATTTCTTTAATATTACAGACTACACAATTACACTTCTGCTGAACCACTCTCTGGACACAGATATTTATATCGGGCTCTTTTTCAACTTTAGGTTCAGCCTGCTTGGAGCCTACTGTACGAGAGTGTTATCCTTTCCAAATCCTTCCTTCACGTTAGAGAGGGAATGGGAAGTTGGCAACTTACTGTGAGGTTCTATTCCAGTTTACTGTCCAGTGAACATATGTACTGCTCTGCCTTGCAGGCTAAGTCCTTTAGCCACTGATATCACATGCATCCCTCAGAATACATTCCTACCCATTTTGGATGTTGTCTGTTCTTCTAGTTTTTCCTACTGCATCTTGGTTTGAAACCATTGCTTCCTTAAATAACTACTCTTTCTGAAAGCTCAGCTAAGAAAAGACCTGGCTGGGGGAGCTGTGTAGACCAAGACCAAAGCAAAAAGCTTGGTTACATGTTCCTTACCAGGGTAGCTGGGAGGAGTTAATGCATTATAGATGTTTCCTTCACACTGGATAGGGAATGAAAAATCACAGTAAAGACCCAGGTTTCCATTTGACCAATTAAACCTGGCCTTCTGGTTAGTGAGAGGTTCTCTCAAAGGAGTCTTACTTCCCTTCTGCCTTTCTTTTTTGAAAAAAGTTTGGTCAGTGTTCTCAATATAGACTTAAATACTTAACCCTTTTATTTATTTAAAACTTGGACACTTGTAACTCAGG